TCCTGAACCCTGACCTGATCTCTCTCTCTTGATGTCTTTCTAGTATTTTCCTTCTTCCTAGTAGGTTCAACATCGCCTTTTACTTTACCACTTCATGTGGAATCTTCTTCTTGCGTGGTTTACGTAAAGGTCTTCTTTTAATGCAGTATATCTCACAAAGTGACACGAAGTATAATCTTTTTATTATCTTTCTTGTGAACTTAGAATCTTCTGGGGAATCTGTGAAAATGTCAAATTGTTTAAATCTGTGCCAAGGTGCTCTGTCTCCTCTACTGACAGTGAATGAGATGGCTGGCAAACCACCTTTAACATGTTGAGTCTTAATCATTAGCATTGGAATTTTTTTGGGGGGGGACTCTCAGTTAGGCACGGGGTCTTAATTTGAAGAAAGACCTTGACAGGACTACAAAAGTGAAACAGACAAGACATTCAACACATGCACAAAGCTGAGCATGATTCATGAACCAAACAGTTATTGCAATTACGGTGAGTGGTAATCAGATTCTATAAATAAAAACCTCAAAGATTTCTTATTAAAGTTCATCAAGCCATAAAACGTCCAATGTGTTCCTAAACAACTTCTGCTTGCAAATTGACTTTAATGAGACTCCAAAGTGTTTTCCCTCGGCTTCAGATGTGTGACACCTGCCAGCTACGAGCCGGGTCGTGTATTATTTGGGGTTATGTATGAGGCCAGGAGGCTGCAACAGGCAGGAAAGGCAACTGAGGGCAGGAATCAGAAGAAGCAGCACATGGCATGCCTGATTCATTAACAGTGGAGCAGATGCTCGACCACACTCCGCTCCCGTGTTTGCAAAACAAACAGCGAGGGTTAGATTGAGCAGAAATTAATCTGTGAGGTAATCAAGTCTGAGCTTTCAAGTGGAGAGGAGTCGACGAAGCCGACCAGAATGAATGTGTGCAAAGGTGTTCTGCACAGTTCGACAGGCGTGGGGAGGAGGATTTCAAGAGTATTTACCAATACTGACTATCCCTTCAATTCTAATGTGATTTAATAGATATCTATGATATTGGAGGAAAAACAGTGATGCTGACATTTTGATAGTTTGACTAACTACACTCTTTTAGATAACACTGGGCAGCTGTTCGTTTTTTTTAAAGATTTATTTTTGGGCTTTTTGTGCCTTTAATGGAGAGATAGGACAGTGGATAGAGGCGGAGATCAGGGAGAGAGATAGTAGGGAATGACATGCGGGAAAGGAGCCACAGGCTGGATTTGAACCTGGGCCGCCCGCTTGGAAGACTAACCACTGAGCCACCAGCGCCCCAGTTGTTTGTTTTTATCACATATAATACTGTACCTAATGTTTTAGAGATTATTAGGTATGGTAGCCGATCAGTGCAATGACTGACATACTCTACATTATCCAATACTTCATTTTTTAAACAGTATCAGTAGCCAGGAGTATCTCTATGTATGTGTGTGTGTGTGTGTGTGTGTGTGTGTGTGTGTGTGTGTGTGTGTGTGTGTGTGTGTGTGTGTGTGTGTGTGTGTGTGTGTGTGTGTGTGTGTGTGTGTTTGTGTGTGTGTGTTTGTGTATGTGTTGGCAACAGGTGCTCAGTGTTTTCTCAAACTGACCCTGTGTAAGACACCACTCTGTGTTTGTCCCATAAAGCCAGCATATTTGTAGCATTTATGTAGGTTTTTTGTGTGTTTGTGTGTGTGTGTGTGTGTGTGTGTCTGAGTGTGTGTAGAAGCTGTCAGAGCCACATGCTTGCAAGCTGTGCGGGCTCATATAAACTCAATCTAATTGGATGCCGCAGACTTCACAGTATGAAGCAATATTTGGTGATTTGAGGATCACATTGTTGAACACAGTGTATGTCCTGAGTGGAAAAAAATAAAAATAAATACAGCCTCCAAAGTCAATACCAACCCTCCCCTCCACTTTGCATCCTCCTCTGCTCCAGGAGCAGTAAAATGAGAGTCAGTATCCAGGAGGAGGCGAAGGGGTTGCGGGGCTCCTCCTCAAGTCCTCGCCCCTCCTCTCCGAATGCGGCACAGCTGCCTTTCAGAACCCCGCCGCTCCAGCCCCATTCATCCTGGAGAGCCAAAAAAAAAAAAGAGGCTATTTATTAGAATACTTGTTTTGTATTGTTCTGTGCCACACAAAAGACGCTTCATTATGTTAGAAGCAAGCCCCCTTTCACAGAGAGAAACAATAAGTTGGGAATTGTCTTTTTTAGAGTGTATAATAAATGTCATTTCTTCTTGTCTCTGCCCCTCAGTGTGTTTGGAGTGGTGGGTTTGGGCACCCGGGCGGGCATGCATGCATGGATGGTTGGATGGATGGCCTTGGCACTTGAGCGGCCAGCTTGTAGTGGGAGTAGCGGTCTTACATGCAGCTTTGGAGGGTTTAGGACGGCTTTAGGAGGATGGAGGGAGAAATCTGCCCACTTTGTCTGGAGCAGAGAGGACGAGTGGAACATGCGTAAGTTTTTGCATTTGACAGTTCCGTTACACAATGAGGGCATTTTTTTTATTCAAGAATTGGCTTTTGCGCGTAAAATGTATTTATGTCTTTTAAATTACGCATGATTACGCATGCAGATTGTCTGTATTGGCAGCCTTTACTTTCGTTATTCACTTTTCATTTCCAATGCTGGTAAAAAAAAATGTGTTTCTATGGCTGCCGTTATGTTTCGGGGACAAGTGAGATCCAGCAGTGTCTGGCTGCACAGAGCTCTCTGCACTCGTGGTGCTGCTACCAGTTGCTCTCTAAGCGACTGTTTGATTTTTTCCGACTGAAATGTTCGGGTACTGATGCGTGCCAACCGCAGCCCGCTGGATTCAAGAGAGAGAGAAAAAAATCTGTTGCATGCTGTAAATCATGGAGCTGTTTGTTAACGGCTGGAATTGGTGCTATTTAGGTGACACGATTTTTTTTTTTGTTAGTGTTGTTACTTTTGAGGAGGCAGAGGGGGAGGCGCGTGGAAGCGATGGTGGGGGGGGGCTGATCACCACAACTTTACATTTCCGCGGGTGTGTGTTTGTGTGTGTGTCTGTGTGTGTGTATCAGCACTTATAGACTCGCTCTCTTTTTCTTAACTCATTTTTTTTGTCAGGAGGTTATCAGCCGGTGATCATAACTCTTTTATCCCTCAATCGCACGCCACACAATTGTTGCTCTATTTAACTTTACGCGCAAAGATCGCAGATACAGGGGATGGGGGGGGGTAATCCGGTTTTTTTTAAATTATTATTTATTGTGCAAGAAGGTTACATCGCGCGAGAAAATGCAGAATGTTTTCATATATTTACTTTGAAAATGAATTTTAATCACAACGCTTTTTTTTTTTTATTATTCATTTGTCGTTAGATGGGGGGGGGGGGGGGCAATGCCTTAACTGCTTTGACCCCTGGACCTCAGTCATGCACCATCATCGCAGTGCTCGCATCCTGTTGCAGAGGGCCGCGCACAAAGGAGCGAGGAGCTTTGTTAAAAGAGGAGTGACTGATGGGGGATGACAGAGAGAGAGTAAACAGGAGGGCCACCGGGGTCCCACTGTCACTATGAAGGCTAATACTCCACGATCCCTAAACCAATACTACAAGGCAAAGACAATAACAATAATCATCTTAATAGGATAATATTTAATGATTATTTTCAGCCTTGTATTTCTAGAAGATTCCTTTTTATTTAAATTGATATGAAATTATACCTGTGTGGGTGCATTGTTAGGTGTGAGCGTTTTAATTAATTTAGAAATATAATCTGCGCTTTAAAAAGACAAATGTGCCAAAAATCTAAATTATCTGTCAATGTTTTGGTCAATAAAATATATTGCCTATTTTCAAATCTAAAAAAAATGCCAATGAATAAATATGATTTATTTATTTTAATTTCATGTCGTAATATAAGCAATAGTAGCTCGTTAAAAATAGGTCGTTACACCGTGTTTGTGTTTGTATTTACATCCTTGTGGGATGTTTTCATTGGCTCTCCCAGCCCTGTGTAGCTCTCCTGGTGTCATCATTACATTGTCATCTCCTCCTCGGGCCTTCAGCCACATGGCCCCGGACCACTGGAAACCCTTTTATTGACCATTGTGATCTCCCCGTTAACCCCATTTACCAAAGACGCATGGATCTGTCCGAGTGATCCGGGTCCCTCAGGCCCTGCAACACAGAGCTACATCAAGCTAAGCTCCAATTAAAGTAAAAAACAGCAAAGAACGATGGAATGATTAAATCGTTAGTCTCGCCGCGGGAAGTGGTATTTCGTTTTCCCTTTCAATTAGAGGTTGATTGGGCTTTTCAAGGGAGGTCAGCTGTGAAATCTGGATTAAATATGCGCAAAGTCGAAGACGCACGGACAGTTTTTTCCTCTCTTGGTTCACTTCGCCGGATGTAAACGGGGGGAAAATGTTTCAGCCACCTAAAAGTCCGCTAAAAAAAAAATAACAACAGCAAAGCAGTTTACACGTGGTCGTCTTTTGCTGCACAGACACGCACCATCAGGACGCGTTCGCCATCACCAGCAGACGGCGATAACGACGCGTTGCCCCTCCATTTTCACGTCATTATATGGCTATCCATTCTCTCTCACGTCATCTTCTGCATTGAGAGTGTGTTATTTCTCTCCCTGACACCTGCTATTATTACATACCTTAATTACATACCTGGAGGGGGGAGAGAGAGAGAGAGAGACAAGCAGAGAGAGAGGAAGAGGTCGTTCAAAAAATTGGATTTTGACGCGCTGGTGGAGCATCAAGTCTACTGATGTTGAACTGACTAAAAAGTAGGCTACCTTTTTACGCAGGCTGCCAGGAAGAACTGTGCATGGAGAGTAGCCTATTAAAGATAGGAGGCAATGTCAGACTTTTACGCACAGATATAGAGAGAAGGTATACAGAGATATAAGACTTATTGAAGGCCTAGAATTGTTTGTTTAAATGTTAGAATTTATTGACTTCTTTATTTTATTTTATTATTATTAATTATTATGATTATTTTTTAAATATGTCGAGGTGTTTGACTCATCATAATCACGGCAGCACCCACCTTTAGGCCGCCACATTACAGCTAACAAATCGTAGTTATTTTTGTTTGGATAAAGTCTCTTCGAGCTTGTTTGGAAATTTCAAATGCCTGGTGCTATTTGTGGGATTGACCCTCCTTTCTGCCTCCTCCTCCTCCTCCTTCTCCTTCTCCTCCTCCTCCTCCGGTGTGTTCTTTCTCTATGGGTCCTCTAGTCACCTGACCAAACTCCATGCAAATCACTCTGCTGCTACAGCCTCATTGGCCGCTTGTGGCTCATTTAACCGCTGTCAGTGCGCATCACATGGCCGCCGCTTTAACTAACTTCTCAACTCCGACAGGGAAAGTGGCTCCAAAGCGCATTCTATCACAGTGGATGTGAAGACAGGCTGAAACACTGGTTGGAGAACATTTCATTCCCTCTTTTCGGATTAATTTTCATCTCGTGTTTGACTCATTTGGGGTTAGAATATTAATTTTGAAAAGCCAGTCGTCCTGTGCGCACTCGCTTCTGTGTGCGCCTGAGCTATCTGCAAAAAAGACTTTTTTCTCTGTTGGTGGCGAACTTTAAAAACCGGGTTAATGTATAGCATGATGATGGAAACTGACCTCCATTCCCCTGGCCCCCAAACGAACACTACCACGGGGCAAACGGGTCCGAACAGCGGGTCCAAAGCGAACCAGGAACGGGTGAAGAGACCGATGAACGCGTTCATGGTTTGGTCCCGCGGGCAGCGGAGGAAGATGGCACAGGAGAACCCCAAAATGCACAACTCTGAGATCAGCAAGCGGCTGGGCGCCGAGTGGAAGGTGATGTCCGAGGCTGAGAAGCGCCCTTTCATCGACGAGGCGAAACGGTTGCGCGCCATGCACATGAAGGAGCATCCGGATTACAAGTACCGGCCCAGACGGAAGACCAAGACGCTGCTGAAAAAGGACAAATATTCTCTTGCCGGCGGACTGCTTTCTGGGCCCAGTGGGGGCGGTGGAGTTGGTTTAGGGGTCGGAATGAGTTCATCGGGGGTCGGGCAGAGGTTAGAGAGCCCCGGGGGTCACGGAGGCTCCAGCTCCGGCTACTCGCACATGAACGGCTGGGCAACGGTGGGTACTCGGGACAGGTGGCTGCTGCCGCGGCGGCCGCAGCGATGATGCAGGAGGCGCAGCTCGCCTACAGCCAGCACCCGGGCAGCGGGGCGCACCACCACCACCACTCACACCACCACCACTCACACAACCCGCAGCCTATGCACCGCTACGACATGACGGCGCTGCAGTACAGCCCCATCTCGAACTCTCAGAGCTACATGAACGCTTCTCCATCCGGTTACGGCGGGATCACCTACACGCAGCACCAGGGCTCCGGCGTCTCCTCCTCGGCTGCCATGGGGACGTTAGGGTCGCTGGTGAAGTCGGAGCCCGAGTGTAAGCCCTCCCGTCAGCAGCACACACTCTCGGGGTCCGTGCCCCGGAGACTTGAGAGAGATGATAAGCATGTATTTACCGACCGGAGAGCCGGGGGACCCGTCAATGCAGAGTAGACTCCATGCCTTGCCGCAACATTACCAGAGCGCAGCGGCTGGAGTGAACGGGACGGTCCCTCTAACACACATTTAGACTCCCAGAATAATTGAAAACTGCTAACGAACACATAACCAAATATTTACCTCTTTTCTAAATCACCCCGGCCCCCGAGAACTACCTGCATTTTGTACAGAATGTTTATTGTAAATGAAGGTAAATAGCAGATTCATCTCGGCTCTTTTTGGAGTAGCCACCAGTGGAATTATATAACGAACATGACGCTGAGATATTGGTTATTGTGCTCTCATCTTTTTGTCCATCACTTCACAGTCTTAGTTGAGGGTTTCACCAGGTTCACATGCTGGTGTTTGGTTCAATTGTCTCATATATTTTTTCTTTTTTTGGGGGGGGGAGGGGGGGTTCTTGTAAGTTATTGAAAAATGAGAAAACGTGTCATAATCTGAAGAAAAGTGCTTTTAAAAGAAATGGGAAACTCACATTCTTTACAAAAAAAAAAACATTTGTGTTTATTTGCAGAAGCCTGTGTCTTAATTCTTGGAAATCATCTCTTTTTATTGTAACACTAATTATTGTAAATTGTGAATAATTTTAATATTTCAAAGATGACGGGCGACTGCTGTTGTAATTGAAGTGCTTTTCTGTAAGTGAAAAGCCCTGATTATTGCAAATGAAAGAAGAATTGAATAAATTTCACGAGATCTTGCTTTGATTCTTAAGACGACGGTCTTTACATTGATTATTTTTCCACAATCTTCTTTACACGAGTGGTTTTTCACGTCTTAGGACACATGAATATCAGCAAGCTTCCTCTCGAGTAAAAAGAACCACCTGTTTTAAATTGTCACACCATGTGTTCCGGACACAGATCCCCACGAGCTTTCAAATGGCCTAATTGTTGTCTGATTGTTTTTCTAATTGTGCGTAAAAGCTGAAGGCCTGAGAGGAAACCACATCAGTATGGATGATGAGTTTGTGTGAAGATATAAACTTTTTTCTGTTAGTAATTTAATTTATATACCGACTATATTTAAAAATAATAATAATTTTACATTTCAGTCATGCAGCAGGCCAAACTTTATCAAGCTATTTTTATATTTAAAGCAGGGCAAGTTGATTCACATGTGTGGAGTATTAATATGACAACTTCGAGTTTAGTTTGAAATGTAATTATGACACATTCGTTTAAGCACATTTAAAAAATGTTTATGAAAGAGTGCAAGTGAACTAACCATTTGTTGTTGCAATTAACGAAACGTTCTTCTTAATTAAAGAGTAGAGATTTAACCTAAATTTACCATTCACGAGTTTTATTTTCCCCTGAAGTGGCTGATCTGATGTAACTCTGTTCATAGAGAAAAAAAAACATCAATGAGCATTTAAGCTGCAAAAGATTTCTTTCATTTTCATCTTGTATAGTCATTCAATTGTTTAAGACTTTCTTTAAATTTCTAACAGATGAAATTGTGAGACTTCACGTTTCGTCATAAAATCTCGTCAAATGTAAAAAAAAAAAAACAAAATAAAATTATTTAAATGACATCAAATTTGAAATCTTATTTATTGAAACCTTTAAATTCGAACAAGACATCCCTCTCAAATAACACATTAACTGATATATTATCATCGTTACATTAATATCGTTTTTTTTATGGACAGAGACATTTCAGTGAGATTTTAAAAATGTAACTTCCTGATTAAACACCTGATTTAACCTGAAGGTAAAACAATAAGTAAAAAATAATCTGTAACTGACAGTTAAGTAATAAAAGGGTTGATTCAAAACCACATTTAATAAATAAACACTAAACGAATCTAATATTCAATTCTCTGTTATATTTTATGGACTCGTGTTTTTTCGTCCTCTTCATCTGTTTGCATTTTATTGTTTTTATCTTAAAGAATACGACACATAAAGTTCAAAGATAATAGATGTTATTATAAAGAAATAGTGATCAGTACGCAGAATAAAAAAAAACCTCACATCCATAAATCCCCATAAACAAATGAACACAGATCAATCATAAATTTAACAAATATTTGTGACTTCTGATATTATATCCGGTTTTTTATTCGTACTGTGTGGTTCAAACATATTTCAAATTGGCTCTCAGGTGCGTTCATATCTTGCTCTTGACACTTGACAGAGTCAGTCAAATAAAGGGAAACAAAAAAACAGGGAATCTGAGCAGTAAAGTTTTATTTGATATCACTACTGCAAGACACTTCAGGGGGGGAAACAGTTAGGCTGATTGTAGAGGATTAAAGAACATCTTCGTGCCAGTTTTTGAAAAATATAAAAACTGAGTTGGATAAACAGAACAAAGCATAAAAAGTGTAAGATTTAAATCACCTATCAACAAAGATATAGACGAACCATTCACTCTGAACTGTCTACAGACTGGAACTTAAACTTCTCACTGACCCAGCAGACACTCATGACACTCAGCTGATGTGGTCACTGATGACTCATCAGATTTCACAGCTGTAGGTTTTTCACTTTTAGAGAGACTGCCAGTGTTTCGACATTTGACCAAAAAAACATCGTTTAGCAGAAAAGAACATCGCGTATCCTCTCAGATTAATAATGCTTTTAAAATGATTTAAAACAAATAGTCTGATGATGACGTCAGATTTTGACAGGCCACAGCTGGTTTTGACATGTACATCTGTGTGTGCCTGTAGGCCTTGTATGTAGAAACAGGCTAATAACCATACACATGCAAATGAGGGAAATTTATGCATACTTACGCATAATAAAAAAAAATCAATTATTCTCAAATACATAGTTAAAGGGCCCATTTAACACTGATGAAGACTTGCATGGTATGTCAATTAAACCTGTTAGGCCTCATAGTAGAGCGTGTCACGTCTGCAGGCTGCGTATTAATCTGGTGAAAGAAAACCACAGGAACAATGTTTGGGAAATTACTTCAAAATTCCAAAAAGCGAATAGAAAGCGCATCTGTGGAGACATCTCTTGCGCATCGCAGGCCTTCCTCGTGTGTTTCGCATCTGTTTCCATCTTATCTGTTGATGTGAAGAGATGCGGATTAACACTGAAAGCGCGGAGAGGCGGAGCGCGTCACGGCGCATCGCCAGACTAAAAAAGAGGAGCGTTCTGGCAAATTTAACCCGAATAAATTACACCTTGAGGTGGAAGAGGGGTAAGTGTAGGTTGCAATGTATGCAGGCGCTGCTTGTTTGTGTGTGTGTGTGTGGATGTGTGTGCGTAAGAGGCATGTATGTGCGTGTGCGTGTGTTTAGCTGACCGGCCAATAAATCTCTCCACCGAGCGATACTCTTATCTTGTAGCCACCGATATATTCCGTGCTAGGAGGCCATCAGCTCCAGCGCACACTCGGTGCCTCGTAAAGCCCCGATCCCTTGCACTCCCTGTCCTAAATGGGGATAATTAGCGTCACTTTATCACGCCTCTGCATATTTTCTCCTCGTCTCCCCCCCCCTTTTCCTAAAAAAATTACCAGGCAGCCTGCTCTCGTCGCCTTCTCTGTCACAGAAGATTATGGAGACAGATTGCACAGAGCGAATGTGCCGGGCGAGATTAGCGCGGAATAGAGAAAGCAACTGGGCCAATGAATTCCTCGGAAGGGCCTTATCGTGCAATTACACGTTGACATGTTTAACAATCTTGCTGCCTCTTAATCCTGCAGTGCTGCCTCTATCTACCCACAGCTACCACACTGCACCCCGGCACACAGACCTAATGCACCAAAACGCAGCACAAATGTCCTGAAAGTTCTCAGAAATTGCTTAATTTTCAAACTTTTGTGCAGCATTGAAACGCCTTTTTTATTTTCCTTTTTTTATTTTTCAGATTTCTCCGTTGTTGGAATAACATCTGCACTGGAACTTTTTGACAAGAGGTGAGATATAAAAATGAAAAAAATATATTGACTTGGTTTATTGTTACAAAAACATCTCTGTTTCCCCTTTATCAAATCAAAACGTGACAGAAACCCTAATATTGTTTCGCCAATTCCATCCAGAGTGCTGATTTTACGCACAAAGTGTCCATCTTATTTGGAGTTAGATGCAGACTTTTCCATCTCTCTGCCCAACACACACACACACACACAGACATACACTCCTCCTCTCGTCCCCCCCCCCCCCCCCTCTCCTGCTTGGCGGTATATCGGGGCCTGTGTGGGAGTGATTGTGGAGCGCCACTGTAGGAATTTGGCAGCGGCCGCGGTTTGGAGAGCCGCCCCACGCTGAGCCCCATTCAGCGGCCAGCGCGCTGTGAGGTTGGGAAGTTTCACTCAGCCGTACAACTCAATGGCCCCCACAAAGGCGATTACAAGCCCCAGCGCATTCCTGTAGGGACCTGGGAGCGGCGCAGGTGCGAGGGGGGACCCTGGTAACCCCGTCAGAGGAGTGATAAACACGGGACAGGGCCGGGGCCACACAAAACCCAGGCGCTCCACAGGAAGCGGGGAGTTTTAGGAGGAAGGAGGCGAAAAAGGAAGAATAAGTCTCAAGACGATGGAAGTTGGGTGGGAGGAGGTGAAGAATACTGAGTGGCTTCACTGTCCATCACTTGAGTGAAAGGAGAAAGAGACTCACAATCAGGGCTGCAGCCAGGATTTCACTGAGGTCATGGGTCCAAAGTCTCACAGCAGGAACCATCAACCCCACCTATTTAAAGAAAGTGGTCAACTCACTAAAAATCTCATTTTCTCAAAGAAGACAAACTAAAAATGAATCATTTAAGTGATCAAAATGTATTTCTGAAGATTTTTTTTAAGGTGTTAATACTTTCTCGACTGTCTCCACTGTTCTTTAAGGTGGTTAGTTAGGTATACAACGTAGTGACAGCCACGCACACGCTAATAAACCTATCCAAAAACTAGGAACACAAAATAATACAACAGCCAAAAAACTGTTGATACTGTCTTATATGACATTGGACTACTTTTTGTATATTTACAAAAATGGGTAAAAAGATATTCTTATGCACTTTTAAATGATTTTATTTTTTTATGGAAGGCATCTCACGACCCCCCTCTTGGTGGCTGGTGACCCCCTGGGGTCCCGACCCCCACTTTGGGAACCACTGCTCTAAAGTATGTGTCCTTATGTAGAATATGAATTTTTCCTGCATTAAACACACCTCAAATTGTTGCACAAACTTTGATCGCAGTGCTGCAGCTTTGCCACCAATAACAGAACAATGATCCAGCAGAAAAGTCAGCTGAACACAAGCTTCTTTATTATTCTGTTTTTTAAGATTTATTTTTGGGCTTTTGTGCCTTTATTTGAGAGATAGGACAGTGGATAGAGATGGAAATCAGGGCGAGAGAGAGAGTGGGGATTGACATGCAGGAAAGGAGCCACAGGTTGGATTTGAACCGGGACCGCCCGCTTTGAGGACTTTAGTCTCAAAACATGACGTGCGCACTACCCACTGAGCCACCAGCGCCCCACTTCTTTATTATTCTGCAAGTCAAATAAGTCTAAGCTTTGCAATTGAATTAAATGTAGTCTAACATAAAGGAACGTTGTGAGGAATTCCTGCTGTGAAAATTATTCACTCAGTATGAAGCAAATATATTAAGTAGGAAAATGTATTTCTCCCTGAATGACATGATTTTAATATCTAAAAAAAGGACACTTTATATTCATTTTAAACCTCACTGGAATATATATTACTTTCATTTTGAACACTCTTCCTTTTCTCTTTAACGTGTGCTCCTGGAGACTGAATAAAGTTTGTGTTTTTATGTCAAGTTCTGATTATCCCACAGTACATGAACACAACGCCAAATAGCCCATGGTTAGTGATGAAGCCCGGGAACATAGCCAGGCTCCCAGCAGCTAAAGAGAAAAACATTTTTGGTAAAAATGTTTGCCAGCTTTGCAAGAATATATGTCAGTGTTGTGTTTTCAGAGTATTTAATTGCCCCCTAGTGGCCAAAAAAATATATGCAGCTTTAAAGCTAGTTTTGCAATGCATTTCATTCCCTTTACATCCTGTAGATTTGAAGTAAATGACCTGACAAAACAAGAAATATGGGCAAGCTTGTCTTATAAAAAGGGCGGAGATAGATGGTTTTATGATAGAAGGAAACTCTTGAGCTGCAGCCACTCCACAAATGGAGGTCAGGGCTCTCGCTGAAGGACCATAGATGTTCAGAATATAACTCAGTGGACTCCTTCTCTCAGACAGGGTCCAAAGAAAATACTGGAGCACACAGATCACTTTAAGGCACATTTATTTAGATGCAATAGATTATAGATAGATGAGTTTATGCAGTCATAGATGTAAGCACTCTTTTAAAGTCTTTATATGTGATTTTTCACACTTAAATGTAGAAATCAAGTATATCCTCTGAAAATAACTCTGTGAGTCATGACTGTCTACAATGGGTGTAACACCCGAGTCCCACTGTCTGTGATGTTTTCAGAGTTTTCAGAGTCCTATCTTCACTTTGTTTACATCGCCCGGACGGCCGGCTGACTCCTCCCCTTGTGTATAAAAGTTGTTTAATTGAGGGACTAGAGAAAATAAGAATAACATACTGTACTCACTGCTTAACTGTGTTTCTAGATCACGCTCATTTCAGGTAAATTTACATGCAGTGTGAAGATACCAGCATAATAAAGATCGCTAGCATTAGCATGCTAACACAACAATGCAGCGCGAGTTGTTTTGGTTTCATGCTGGTGCTCAAGGGCGACATCTGCTGGATCAAAAAATCGCATATAAAGCCTTTAAAGACAGCAGTGGTGGATGTTCGGGAGCTAGGTGCAAGTGGCTTTGGTGGCTTTTTTTTTTTAGTATCCATTGAATCTATTTTACTCTGACTGTTTCCAAAGTTGCTTAAACAGGTTTAGGCCTCTTAAAGGTTTAGACTGGCAAAGATCAAAGTGTAAAAGATAGTATATCTATTTATTTAAAATTGCCAGTTGGCAGCAGACTGAACCTGTAGTCTCTCCTGTTTGTTGGATACTTTTTTTTTAGCAATCCATCACCCCAACATCCTAGAAGCTTATACAGATCCTTTGTTGGAGAAAATGTGGACAGTCTGTGAAACTATAAGCATCTAAAACATATTCAGAAAATCACTCTTAAAATTCCAACTTGCGCAAACACCTGTCAGTGACTTATTAAAGCTGCTTTCCATTAATGGCACAGAAACAACTACAAGAAGAACAAGGATTATTTAACCTTTACTCGCCTTGAAATGTGTTGTTGTGTTCAGCGCTCATGGACAAGGGAAGAGAGGTGCACACACAAGTGGAGGTTTTACTCAAATATAGCAGAAGTTGGGGCACAGGAGAGCCTATAGCGGTTATGTTAAGCGCCTCATGTACAGAGGCGCAGCTGCATTGGGTTTGAATCCAACCTCTGGCCTTCACTGCCTCTCACACTTTCCTCCCAACGTTTCCTGTCTCTCTTCTGCTGTCCTATCTAATGATGGAAAAAGGCCCAAAAAATATTTTAAAAAAAAAGAAGTTTCTCCGCCTGGGATGATTTAAGAAGGAACAAACTGGATACAAATACGAGCAAAACTGCCAAAATTGGATTAAGATATTGTGTAGCTTGTCAGTGATCCGGGTCAGAGTACTTCAAACCTTAATCAGGCAACTGGACTCGGTTTAAGGTCTTAACCTAGCTCCACTTGCTTTTTGGATTAAGGTAGCATCAAAGAAAATAAAAGATATATTTAGAGGTAGAATGACGATAAATTGGCCTGCATACTACATATAAGTGGTGCATTACGTTATATTATATTATGCTACATTATTAGATTATAAAAGCGTATTCTCAATTTATGCAGCAGATGCTGGCCCCCATTTATTGTATGAGTCATTGCCTCCTTTCCAACCTTTATGGTAATATGGCATTTAACGATTTATTCTAAGAGGATGGGAAACAGAATTGTGAATGAAAAAGCGTTGGATAGATTTTTTTTTAAAAACATCGAGTGTTGCTATTTTTTCCTGTCTTACTCGTTTAATTGAAGCGTAACACAAATAAGAATCATTCTGCAGAAGGACTTTTAGATCACTGCGTCGCAAAACTAATCGGGCAACCCAGGCTTCATAATTTCCATTTACACAAACTCAAGTGTAGGACCCACAATCTGCCGTTTGCTGCAGATTTGTATTTTCTCATGTTTTGCTATTTTGCACTTTCAGTACACGACATCTACTACTAGAAATCTTGCTATTTCATTTGTCGTTTTTTCCACACCTGTGATTCTCACTGCTGCTCTCTTAGTAATAATCCAGTAATGATGATGAAGATCTGTCAATGTACATCCTTCCATTTATATTTCCCTCTGCCTTGTAGATTTGTGAGGGCAGCATATTCATTAATAAGTCATGAGGTTTTGGACATGGGGGTTTTATCCGTTTTTCAAATTAAACTGTTGAAATAATGATATTTTAAAAATTGTCAACACTTGACGTAATTTCAAATGGAAGAGTGAATCTTTAAGAGTTGCACCCGATCTCTTCAGGGTCTCCATGTGTCCTTTTTGGTTCAACCAAACATATTTAAGCAGTGTCCCAATTATCAGAAGAAGGATTAGGACCCAACAATCACTGTTAGTTGTTTTTTCTCTCTCTCTTCTCTAAGTGTTTCCACAAAGACTGTCCTCCGTTGAGACAAACAAACTCACCAGAGGAAAGGGACATTTGAAATAAAATGTTCAAGCAAACAAGCCGAGCAGCTTCTCGTTTCTCACAATAAGTATACAACTAATCTGAGTCAGAAATGAATTAGGATTTTATTGTCAAGCACCCTGCGCTGTCCATGGCTTTAGAAATGGAAGTATCAGGTGATTGGTTCAACACTTAAAATCTAATAAATTATAAGACAAAGAGACAAAGAGTGTCTGGTGTCAAATTGTACAGAAAATTATGATCTCAGGAGGAGTCATGCCAACAGATTTGATGATCCACTGACTTTGACTTAATTTTATTTAACCTTTATTTACTTTGACTTAAAGGCTTTCTATGCGATTTTTCACACATAAATATAATAGAAATCAAGTATATCCTCTGAAAATAACTCTGTGAGTCATGACTGTCTACAATGGGTGTAACACCCGAGTCCCACTGTCTGTGATGCTTTCAGAGTCCTATCTTCACTTTGTTTACATCGCCAGGACGGCCGGCTGACTCCTCCCCTCACATATAAAAGTTGTTTAATTGAGGGACTAGAGAAAAGAAGAATAACATACTGTACTCACTGCTTAACTGTGTTTCTAGATCACGCTCATTTCAGGTAAATTTACATGCAGTGTGAAGATACCAGCATAATAAAGATCACTAGCATTAGCATGCTAACACAACAATGCAGCGCGAGTTGTTTTGGTTTCATGCTGGTGCTCAAGGGCGACATCTGCTGGATCACAAAATTGCATATAAATCCTTTAAGTGCTCCCAACAGGTTACAGTAATCTCCATCATAATCAATTAAACTAAAGTTAGCTCGCTTTAATGCTAAACTGAGTTGCTATTCAACGTGCTAAAGAGTGTTTCACTTTCCTGTCAGTTCATGGTTTACAGTCTTTTTAAAAAAGGGGACATTTTCTGTTAAATCCAAGTCATAATCATGGCAGCAAAACACAGATTTTTTTCTAAGTTCTGACATTTATTTGACTCAGTACTGCATACATACAAATATACTATATATTCAATTTAACCTACATTTACTGCATATTGTGAAACACTGTCAACGCAAAATCAATCCCCCGTCTTGTTGACGGGAACATCACAGTTGTTAACATGCTAATCTTTGCCATCTCTACCTTCTCTGCAATATGACGGGCAGATAATAGATTGTAACCATTTTAGTTTATTGGTTTATTTGACAGGGACTGTTGGGCCAGAGTTAGCCATGAAGCTAATTTGTGTTCAGTACCATCACAGAGCTAGTTTTATTCATTGTGTGTGAAACCAAATGTCAAGGCTAACTTATCATTTCAACTTTTCCCAAATGCTACTAACTCCTAATTAAGCTCCTTATGTTAACCCAGCTGTGTTTCACAAGAGTTGGTTATGTTTATGCACAAAAACAAACATACTCTATGAGGTTTAGCATGTTTAGCATTATATAGCTACAACAACCTGTCAATGTTTACCTTTTGCTCAAACTGGAGACTACAGGTTAGCCATGTTAGCATTGTGCTCAAGGAAGAGCTGTGCAAAATCACAGCATTGGACTCCTGTTCCAACTCATGCAAAAGAAAATAGAAAATGTATTTGTTGCCTCTCTCATGTGTCGGCCAATGATAACTCCCAAAGGATTTGCTCCTGGGGAAAAAACTCCATAAAGTTTATGGTCGGTCAAATTAGGCGCAGTGGAGTGTTGTCAGGCAGGTGCTGTCCATTCTCACTTTGTATCAGCCCAAATAAATGAAATAAATCTGTTAAATGATTAGAGAGAAGTAGACAGCGAGCGAGTCCAGAGTCCAGGATCCTTTAAAATAAAGTTCCTTCTTCTGGTTTTGCACCTCTGTCCCGTAAACAATACCCAGTGACATGCTGAATATCACATTGGTGAAAATTGGTATTGAATGACAATATAGAATGTAATATTCAACTGAAACCATGTTCTCATACTTTACAACGAGGGCTCTGTATGACTTAAAACAAGCTCTCTCCTACTCTCGCTCACTCAACAACACAAACACAACCATGTTTTGTACAACCCGTACGGAGAGTCTATATCTCCATCCAGCACACACACAAACCCACCAGATGCTGTAAAGGATTTCTGCTCCTGTGTGGCAGGTGATAACTCTGGGCGCCGCGCAGCTGGGGTTAATGAGGGGTCAGTGTTCAAATAAGGAACAGCAGTTTTACGGTGCCTGCTGCACGCTGATAGCTGTTTGAACTGGCCGACCTTTGACCTCCGCCGGGTCAAGTGATCAACAAACCTGGGTCGTTTAGATGGGTCAAGATTGGAACAAGTGAAGGATGTTTATGTTGCGGCAATAAGTCCACAAGGTCGAGATAAATAGCTCTTAATGGTTATAACGCTGATCAATTTGTATCGAGAGCCATTAGATTGTTGTCGGCTATCAGGCTGATTAAGGTTATGGATAAATGTGATTCATTTCTAACTCGACTGATAACCTGCTGCATGGGAGGTATTCAGCTGCCTCGACCATGCGTGCACATTTCTGTCTTACTTTAAATATTGACATGTGCACAAGAATTACCATTAACAGTCTTATGACATGTATTGTAATTTAAAAAAAATCTGAAATTATACCAGATAAATGCAGTTTATTTGGATGTACATCAATTTAAATTTCAATCAAACAGTTATACTTTTTATTTTATTTTTTTTTGTCATTTTTTCCCCCACACATTGGGACAACGATACTGGCCCAACACAGGAGAAGGAAAGGTGGAGAGACATGTATCTTCATAAACTTTACATGTAAACTTGTGGCTTTAATGTATTTATTTTTAATTACAAGGAACAGCAAATTAACACAATACACAACAAACCACAACAACAACATACAGACACATTACAACAAAACAAAAAAACTAATCTTTGTTCATTTTTTGTCAACTTGTGGCTTGTGATTATGTCACTTAAGTGTCATTAACCACCTCTACCATAACCATTTCTGTTCAAATTTTGTGAAGTCTACATGACAAGCCTGAGGTTGAAACTTTTACTCAAACTAAATCTCTGAGCTGCCTGTGTCTCACACTTTTTTTGTGAGCTCTGCAGGTGTAGCTGCCTAGAGTAAGCAATCAGCTGTGCATTAAGGTGGGTTCTACAAAATGGACAAAACATCATTCAAGCCTCCATAATATAACAGAGTATAACACGTTTCTGGACACACAGAGCCTGCATGCACAGTGGTCAGTTCTCTGATTATTGATGGTGATATCAGACAGACTTTAATTGTAGATTAGTCACTGAAACGAGAAGACCGATTGTTTCAATTTGGATGTGTCAAAAGCATGACGTGCTTCAGCTCACTTTACTGACATCACAATGTCCTGTGATGTGAATATTGGACATGGGCACATAGAATTGCAATGGTGAAAAGATATATTGTACAGCCCGAGTCTTATCTGTTTTGTTGTTATTGTTATTACTGTTGCTGTGCATGTCTTTCTGTCTTTCTGTCTCTCCCTCTATCCCATCTTCCCCACCTCTTCCAGTTGTGACTGATGACTCTTTACCAATAAGTCTGATTTCTGCTCGAGGTTTTCTGCCTGTTAAAATGATCGCTTTCCTTCTATGTCTATTTGTTTTTCCTCATCATCGTCTCTCTCTCTTTCTGCAACTCCCCCCATCCCGTTTTCTCGGACCAGTGGGTCATGGCAGATACCTGTCCACCAATAATCTGGTTCTGCTCAAGTTTTATGCCTGTTAAAAAAAAACTTTGTTCTTCTATAATCTGTCTGTAGGTCTGTTTCAGTTTGTCTGTGTGTCTGTGTGATTGTCTTTCTGCATCCTCCCATATTTCTCTTTTTTAGCCTGATAGGTTGTGGCAGAAGGTCTGTGATCTATACCTGCTCTTTATGTAAAGTACCCTGACATGACTTTGATTTTGATTTGGCATTCTATAAATAAAAGCCAGTTGATTGATTGACTGACATGTGTACATGGAGCTAAGTGTTTTTCTTATAATAAACCAAACCTACATTTTTTTTTCTGTTTTTCTTTATTGACTTTTAATTTGTGATATTCCTACAAATCAATATCCTTTCTCTGTCCATCATCTTCTCTCTCTTTCCATCTGTCAGTCTCCAACAGAAAACCGTCCACCACGGCCGACACCGGTGGACATGGATCCCCGTGGGGGACCGTGTGATTAACAGATAGCAGCTCATCTCCTCTGCTGGCAGGCCATCATTACCAACGAGCACTAGAAGACAGGTGATGTGGGCGAAAAAGACCTTTTGGAAAATGTCAGCGACAGTCAGAGCCCCAAATCTCCTCCATTTACTCTTTCCCGTGTGATGCTACCTACTCTAAACCCCTTCATTACGCAATCTCTTTCTCCCCATTGAGTAATGTTTTGTATCTAAGTACAGTGTCTGATTTCAGAGTATGTGGAGATTTTAGTTTGTCCTATGATCGGATATAAAAAAAGGAAAAAAAAAGGAAAACATAGCCCTGTATCTCATCAATATAAGCAGAGACAAACACAAACAGAAAAGAAAAAATAGAAAAAGGAAAACAGCAGTGTCGGCAACAGCTCCCCTTTCCCTTTTTCTTCCTTTCACTGGAGCCAGATTCACTGTCTTAATACTCTTAGTCCCCTCAGTTGGCATGTTTTCCAAGAACCCGCTGCATTTTCAGATTTGTAAAATCCGTCAAAATGCCTGTAATGAATATTTCTACAGCCCTGAGTGTATTTAATGTGATGTGTGACCGGCTCAATAAGCAACATGAACTGATCTGGAACTAGAAATGGAGATCTGCAAATGTTTTTTGTTGTGTGTTTCTGTTTAGACAAGAGTGTCAGTGTGGAAAACAGTTCTTTCTGATTTTTAACACAAACATTTATTCAGCTTTGTTCTCTTAAAGATATTCCTTGTGCATGAAACTTCACGTCATGTATATTTTGTGTTTTGATTTTTTTTTTTTTTTTTTAAAAAAGGATCTATGAGTAAAAAAAAATCTGATTTGCTTAACTGTCATCTTGGGAGTTTTTAAATGTAACTCAGCACCTGCGACTTTTTTTTTTCCTGTTGTCTTAGATTTTACTTGCAAAAAAAAAGAAAAGAGAAAACTATTAAATAAACTCCTGCATCTTACTGCTGCTTAAGAATAAAACATTTCCCTTTTCTGTCTTTTTTCTCCCCTCCCCCCCAAACATTCAATCTTACAAGGTAAATTAATATTTCAAAGAGATAAGTTATGGAAAAGTTTTAACATTTAGACTGTGTATTAATTTCAAGGCCTTAATATGCCCTCAATTATATTAGCAATGCCCTGAAGTAATTGATTTTAGGTAGAGAAAGAGAGCGGTGCAGGAGGGGTGATTTTTGTGGATGTGCAAGAACGGCAGAGTCAATAAATGAAAAATAACTAACAGCATAATTGCTATGAGCGTTAACCGTGCTGTATTGATTATTTTTCTCTCATTATGAGTTTTTTATAAATATATATACATGAAAGTTACTCCAATAATAATATAAGTTGTTTAACTGCTTTCTGCAGAAATTTATATTTTCTGTTCCCTTGGTCTATCGTTGCCTCCTTTAGGTGTGTGCCATCAACCTGCACAAACACGCACACACTCATGAGACTCAGGTCCAGCTGTGTGTGTGTGTGTGTGTGTGTGTGTGTGTGTTCACCCACTCTGCACACAAACACACACACACAAAAAAAAAAATCATACAGGGACTAGATAATGAGCATCTCAGGTGACTACATGCAGTGATTACCAGGTTGCTGCTGTTATAGGAAATATATCACATAAACATACACTCCCACTCTGTCCTCACACTCGCATTCAGACGCATGCACACACACACACACACACACACACTCTTGAGAGATCCTTGGTTATCACACCCTTCCAGATTGTTCTGAACTACTTATGGAAAACACACACATCTCAAGATGTGGCCACTCTTGCCAATACGAGCCCAGTGTTAAGAACAGTTGTTGTCGTTGTCTTGGTGTGGTTTTTTTTTTAGCATCTCTAAATTCCTAGCGTTGCTAAGGTGCTTTGGGAGGGGATTAACAGAGGCTGGCGCCGATGAGCAAGCCTCGCAGATTTCCAACCAGCAGGAAAAAGACAAAGAAAGAAGGAAAAAAAAAACAGCAGAGGGTTAGACAACAGGGAAATGGCAGTAACAGCTTGTGTAAACACGACGACTTGAGAGAGAGGTAAAGAGGTAGAAATGAACGAGGGCTGAGCGACGGAAAGTGAGACTAAATGAGGAGGCCTCAACTTTCACACGCGCGCTGAGGAGACTTTCCTTTTTCACTCTTTCTCTCTCTTCCCTCCTTCTCCTCTCTTTCAACCACGTTTCCCTCTAACCCTCCTTCCCCTCGCTTTCTTTTCATCTCCTCTGCTCTCATTTCTTTCTATCATCTTTATTTCCCCGCAGGCAACAGTTTGAGATCCAGACTCTTTTTTTTTTTTTTCTCATCATCTCTCCTTCTCCCTGTCACAACTTCAAACGACGCCGGCATTCAGGTCACAGCGATGTGCCCGGAGCGTCGGTGACTGTGCCATCTCAGGTGTACGTCTCCCAGCGTGTCCTTGATGACACACACTCTCTCTCTCTCTCTCTCCCTTTTCTCCCAATCTCGCTGCTTTTAATTAGCGTATAGTGAACCAAGGAGACAGCTATAGCCACGTTCAGGAGTTATCGACCTTCTTGTGGTTGCAATGTTTAATACTTCTGCAGCTTGGGAAAAGACAACAAATATAGATGAAGGTGAAGAAACCAGAATGTGTTTTTCTAAGCTGCACCAAACAGGGAGGTCCTCGTTTTCTTGTCTTTCCTCAGGCTCAACGTCTCAGGTAGAGTGTAACTCTACGCAGCCTGTTTGTGGAATACAAGGCACTTGACCAAGGGCCAGCTCCGCTCCTCCCTTCCCTCCCCTCTTATCCCCTCCCTCTCCTTTCCTCCCCCCCCCCACCTACCTGGGTCAGGTTTCCCCTCACCCCCCCGCCCCCCTCTTCCTCCCTTTCTCCTCTCTCAAGTGATGGCAGGTAGTCTGTTTTGCAACCTGTGGATGTTGAAAAGCATGTGTCTGTATGTTTGTACTCTCCCCAGACAGGTGTTTGTGACTCTGTTCTGTTTTTCGGGGGGCCTGGCAGCTGGGGCTCCTGTATCTCCCCCCCCACCCTCCCCTGTCTTGGCTGCGTTGGCTAATGTGACCAGGGTTTGGCTGAGAGCGAGGAGGCGGCCTGTCTTTCAACCACTGATCCCCTCAGAACTACTCATCTGATCAGGCTGGATGTTCGCTCCGCGGCTGCTGGGGTCACACAACCCAACCCCGGGGTCAAGCAGCTAATTACAGTGCGCTGTGTCCTCTCCGTCTCTGTCAGTGCCACGGAGATGGGGGAAAGGTGAGGCGGATAGGAGAGGAGAGAAAGAAAGAAAGGAGAGGGAATATTGACTTAGACATCAAAAGGTCAAGAGTGAGTATAACCGAGCTTTTTCCCCTTCACTTCAGTGTGAGGCTCTGCAGCGTCTCGGTCACACCCTTCCCTTTCCCCCTCAGGCGGAGAGAGAGAAGCTTACACCCATGGGACCAGAGCTGCGTCAAGTCTTTGTGGATTTATGTATCACTGACTTTACATACGAGGGCCGTGCCAGTTTCTTCTTTCTTGTCTTTGTCTTTGAGATTTATTGCGGCAGGGGAAGCTCATAATCTCAACCCCTATCAAGTCCAAAGCTGTTTTTACACACGCACTCGTGAAAAATTTCTAGAAAAATTTCAGGTGAGCCTGCCCCCTTAAAATCTCCCTTGATTCCTTACTCACATTTTCACAACAGTGTGTGAAGTTTTCCCTGTCAGACCGGGGGTGTGTGGGGGTTTCAGGAGGCAAGACATGTTAAAAAAAAAAAAAAAAGATGCAGCCAGTATCCAAGATGGGCGAAGGGAAGCCAGAGTCCAACACTGTAATGACAGTTTTTTGCCTTTGCATCAATGCTAAGTGAATTTACAGTATCAGCGCACGAGTGGGGGGAAAAAATGAGTGGAGAGCAGAAAGGAGTATGAAGCGGCTTCATTATGTGCAGATGGATCATACCGGGCGGGCACATAATGAAAACATCAACAACCCTTGCCTGCCCGCTCGCGGTGCTTTGTATCTGAATATTTCCTGCCGCGTTCACACAGACTTTTCCTGCCAGGCCTCACTATAATGTATGCAAGAGGTCTGGGTGGATGGATGAGTAAAGTAGGGTTAAAATATTCACCTGTTTTTGTTCCCAAATGTAGCTCATCCAAAAAAAAAAAATTGGGACATTTCCCTGAGCTTTCAGCATGTGTGAAAACAGCTAAAGAGTGTTGAGTTTGATTACCTCTCCTCTCCCTGACCTTTGCCCCTGCCCGCCGAAAGATGCCACAAAGCTTCAAGTCATAAAGAGAACATACACATGCCCATACAAAAACATGTACCGAACCTCCGGTCTGTATATTTATTAGGCTGCAGGTTCATTAATCACAAAATGCGGGGGCTTCTCTGCCAGCACAGGAAATTAATCACAAAAAGAGGGACATTAATCACATGCATGAACAGCAGTAGTTACACCTGTGACAATGCAATCTGATTTAAACGTGTTACTCCAGACTGTGTTAATGATGCCACCCAGGGCCAGGAAAAAGCAACCTCTCGGCGACGGATGAAACAATAATGTGCTAACTATGAAGCAATTTTCTTCCACGTAGTCGCGGGGGGAACGCTGATGCACATTGCTCGGGGGGTCAGTGGGTGTTGCAGCAATTACCAGGCGTAGCTTTTTTCCTCACAGCTTGACCACTGGGTTTTTTTCACTCTGTTGAAATGTAACTTCATATTTTCTTTCCGCTCCATTTTTTGCATTGACAAATAGATTCACGTGGAACAGAAGAAAAAAACAACAAGTTGCCTTCTGGAAAGGTTTGACTTGCAGAGATATGTAAACCGATGTAGATGTGGTGCAAAGAAAAAAAAGTAATGTTCACGTGAAACAAAAAATCATTCAGTGAGAGATGGAGGAAAGCATCAAGCAAACCCGGCATGTGTGACTACACTGCCCTCTTTTGAATGCACTGCAGTGTATCGCAGTGAGTGAGAAATGAAAACGCATCAGAAAACATAAACAACTGATGTTAATTTCAAATGCAACTAATTAAATTAACCTTTTACAAGAAGAGTTATTTAAAGCAGATTCTATACAACACAAAAAAAATCACATTTTAACTTGTAAGACTGTTACTGCTACATATTCCCATACAGTGTCTTTTTTTTTTAACTTCTGTGGGTTCTTCTTTTTGTCCCTGTATTCCAGAATGTCCTTATTTGTGTCGCTCAAACAAAAAAAAGACAAAGGAATAAGGTTGCTTTAGAAGAAAGAGCACCTTAATCTGAATGGATGCAGCTCAAATAGGTTGTAAAAGATGTTTCGGCTTTGTAAAAGAAAAATGTAACCTTTAATATATCATTTAAAAAGAATCCATTCAGGTTTAAGTAAATAATCACTTTGATGGGATTTGTCTCTTCAGCTTGTTGATTTATGAAACTTGTAAAATTCTTAATTTAAACACGTTTTGAGAGAGAAGTCCTACAAAAGCAACAATACGATGCTAAGCTAAGAATGAACATTGTAATATGTTTTAATTACAGCTTTACTTAGTGAATGAAAAATATCAGAATATTCTAAATGTACTACTTTTGAAGTAGTGTCTTCCTTTGCATGTGTAGCCTTTTCAGTGTGGGCATCTATTATTAATATATTGAAAGGCTTTATCTTGCTTAAGAAATTGCATTAAACTTAGGAACTCGAAAACTTAAGTGATTAAAAATAATAACTCTGAAGTATAACTGTAAAAAACATTCCAAGGAAGAAAAAAAATAGTTAAGAAGACCTCCTTCAGGAAGGTCAACTTCTCAAGACTCCTGCTAAGACAGTTCGCCTTCGTCATCCAAATAAAAACAGGGGAGGAAAAGTTCAGATCAAGACTCCATGTTGCCCATTTTGTGCCACATTTCAATACAAAGTGCGGTAAGAAGAAATTATAGAGACATTTTGAAAACAGCGTGACAGATATGAGACGGTGAACTTTAAACTTTTGACCTCACCGTCTCTTAAGAAGTGCTCGTCTGAACACTCTTCAATGAAACTCTTTTATTCGGCGTCGCACAAAGCGCGGTGTACTTGAACGTCAAGTTGAAACAGAAGG